GTGTTCTTGAAAGGGTCTTTGCTATGACTGGGGCAAAGGCTTCACAAATTGAGGAGCTGATCCGAGGTAAATGCATACTTAAAGGCAGATTATTTGATGTGTTGTTTGATTTGGGTGCTACGCACTCTTTTATATCGGTGGATTGTGTGAAGAGTCTGGGTCTATATGTGACCGAACTGTTGTGCAATGTTGTGGTGACTACCCTTACGGGTAAGCCAGTTATAACGTCATGGGTGTGTCTGGGTGTCTGATAATGATACATGGCAGGGAGTTTGAGGTGAACTTAATTTGTTTACCTCTTTCTCAATTGGATGTGATTCTGGGAATGGATTGACTTGCTGCCAACCATGTGCTGCTGGACTATAGGGAGAAGACTTTGATCTTCGGTAAGACAATGGCAGAGGTTCCAAGGCTTACGAGCCAGGGGGCGTCGAAGAACACTGTAAACGCCAAGGCTTTTATGGTTATATTCTCAATAGAGGCCGAAAGCGTGGTGGAGTCGGAGTATATTCCGGTAGTAAGGGACTTCTTGAAAATTTTCCCCAAAGATGTTTTTGAGTTACCAACCGAGAGGGAGATAGAGTTTACCATTGATCTCATTCCAGGGGCAAGCCCAATCTCTGTGGCACCTTATAGGATTTCACCTGTGGAGTTGGCGGAGGTCAAGAAATAAGTGGAAGACTTGCTGCAGAAACAGTTTGTAAGAATGAGCGTGTCACCATGGGGAGCACCAGTGCTCTTGGTGCAAAAGAAAGACGGAAGCATGAGGATGTGTGTAGATTACCGGTAACTGAATAAAATAACGGTCAAGAACAAGTATCCTCTTCCGAGGATTGATGATTTGATGGATCAGTTGAGGGGAGCCGCAGTATTCTCGAAGATTGATTTAAGATCAGGATACCATCCGATCAGGGTGAAGAATAAGGACGTACCTAAGACGGCGTTCAAGACGCGGTATAGTCACTATGAGTACTTGGTTATGCCGTTTGGGGTGACCAAAGCGCCTGCGGTGTTCATGGATTACATGAACAGGATCTTCCACTAGTTTTTGGATAAGTTTGTGGTGGTGTTCATTGACGACATTCTAATTTATTCATAGATTCAGGAAGAACACGTCGAGCACTTGAGGATTGTTCTGCAAATTCTGAGGGAGAGACAGCTATATGCGAAATTCTCTAATGGCCGACAGAGATCCAATTTCTGGAACATGTAGTGTCGAGGGAAGGAATCGCGGTAGACCCTGCCAAGGTGGAAGCAGTGGCTGAATGGCCGAGACCGACAAACGTAACTGAGGTTCGTAGTTTTCTGGGACTAGCAGGTTATTACAGAAAGTTCATTGAAGGATTTTCTAAGATAGCTTTGCCCTTAGCGAAGCTGACCCGCAAGGGAAAAGAGTTCAAGTGGACCAAAGAGTGTGAAGCTAGTTTCCTGGAGTTGAAAATAAGGTTGACTTCGGTGCCGATATTAGCTCTACCCGACCCGGAGCGGAAATTTGACGTGTTTTGTGATGCGTTCGGGCATGGACTTGGTTATGTTCTGATGCAAGACAGGCGAGTGGTCACCTATGTCTCAAGACAGTTATGCTCGCACGAAGTCAACTACCTCACTCATGACTTGGAGTTAGTTGCAATGGTTTTTGCTCTTAAAGTATGGAGGCATTACCTGTGTGGAGCGAGGTTTGAAGTGTTCAGTGACCACAAGAGCTTGAAGTACCTGTTTGACCAGAGGGAATTGAATATGCGGCAGAGGAGATGAATGGAATTCCTCAAGGACTACGACTTCACATTGTCTTACCACCCTGGCAAGGCAAATGTGGTAGCCGATGCGTTAAGCCAAAAATCATTGTACATGGCAGCAATGATGGTGAAAGAAATGGAGTTAATTGAAGAATTTCGGGACATGAATTTGGCCATGAAGGTGAGGCCAGGGAGTTTATATCTCGGAGCGACAACGATTCACAACGACTTTTTGATATACGTCAGAGATGCTCAACAGGGAGATACCTTCCTGCAAGATATGATGAGACAGAAAAATGAGGGGAAGGACTTAGAGTTCAACTGTGATGAGAACGGGTTGATTAAGTTTTGGAACCGAGTGTGCATTCCTCAAGTAGATGAGCTGAGACAAATGGTGCTTGAGGAAGCGCATAAGAGCAGGACGAGTTTTCACTCCGGTGCAACTAAAATGTATCAGAAATTCCGGAAGAGTTTTTGGTAGAATGGTATGAAGAGAGACGTGGCTGAATATGTAGCTAAATGCCTAACTTGCCAGAAGGCGAAGGTAGAACACCAGCGTCCAAACCAAATGATCATATGAAAACCTTTACACATTTTATTAACACAATAACAATCAAAATTTAGAAACCTTTAGAATTCAATCAAAATGTGTTAATTTTCTCATACTACTTAATTAACTCTAATTTTCTAAATTGACTCATACATTTCAATCGAATAATGATGAATCAACAATTTCTCAAATAAAGTTAGAACGAATACTTTCATTTCATGAAATTAAATAAATTAGAGAAGAGAATAAAAACTTAAATTGAGAATAAACGTTGCAAATCATTCTCAAGAGTGTTGTGGTTCCTTGATTCTTGAATTAGATAACAAAACTACTCCTCTGTAGGTGGAAGTGTACAAAAATCCAAAGTTAAATGAATAGGAAAAAAGATACAAACAGAAGAAAAATTAAAAATAAAAATAAATATGTCAATATGTGTTTGTTCTTCTTTCTCTCTTCTTTTAATAGGTTTAAAATTTAAAATAGAAGATAATCAAAGTGCTAAAAATCACAATCCTAATGAAAAGTAATTTTATCAAAAATTCAAAAACAAGATTGCACCAAATTTAAAATTTAAAAAATACTATAATATAAAGAAAGAGATATCATAAATGATAATCACCTAATTTTTTAGAATAGATTTGTAACTTGTTCCATTATTTTAACCCAAAATTTGCATTTGTTGAGCTTCGTTCTCTGAAGATGAATTAAATTCATGGATATTAACTTTCAAATGCCACTAAAATGAGTCTAATTGAATATTTGTAGACCGAAATATAGTCCAAACAATGCATGATTGTTAGAATCCTTATTTTCCTTCTTTTCTTTTGGTTTAGACTCAAAATTGAGTCTGAACATTAAGATGCAGCCTCTAATTTCTTTATTAGAGTTGTAGATTCATTTCTTAACTTTCTTACAAAATAAGAATAATATTAAAATAATATTTAAGTCCAAATTATAATTCAAATATTAAACTATAAAAATATATATTATGCTAAAATAATTAAATTAATACCTAACTAAGATAATTTTCATGTTGCAAACAATTTGTTACTATCTATTAATTTAATAACTTAGATCTTATATACAAAATTTAATGGAAATTAAAAAATTATTTGATATTTTATTTATATATACCTCAAAATTAATGAAATATAAATAGAATTATTTCTGATTTTAATTCTATGTTTTCTCATGACAGAAATACTCTCAGCTATTTACAAAGACAAGTCTCTTATTAGCCGTAAATTGGACGCCTCCTCCTCCCAACCATGTGAAGCTCATTGTGGATGCTACAGTTTTTAGGAGTTCTGGTGGTGCTGCCTATGGCGAACTTGTGTGAGATAGTAGAGGGAATTTGCTGCTAGGATTTAGCAAGAGAATTAGTCCTTGTTCACCTTTGGAAGCTAAACTTTGGGTTCTCTATTTTGGCATTCAACTGATTGTGAGGAAAGGTTTTCACTGGGTTTAGATTGAGAGTGACTATAAACAAGCTATTCACCTCATTCAAGAGGTCCAGCTTCATTCCCATCCACTGTTTAAGCTGACACAAGACATTATGAGTAGTCTTCACCCTATCAACTGTATCAAACTTAAATATATTTGTAGAGAAAATAATTCTTGTGCTGAAAGTCTAGCTAAAGCTAGTTTGGAGGAGTATTTGTATTCTTCATAATTTGAATCAGCCCCTCATAGTCTTCTCCCCTTTTTTTGTATAAATTCCCTTGGTATAGGGTTCCCTAGAAACTATCTGTAGTTTGGGCTTTTAGCCCCTCTTTTTAGCAAAATAAATTAATGAAATATATACTTTTAAAATTGATGAAAATAAATACTATTTAATAACAATTTTACAAATATTTAATTTGCATTTTTAGATGCACGAATCCGCGGGCGCGGACGTAGATGCAGAACTAAAATCTAACAACCTGCATCACAATAAAGGCACAACTTCTCCTCCCCTCCCCCAGTAAATGAGAAAACTGCATTTAAACTTTGTGATTCCATCTGTTTCATTAATATTTGCTTTCTTGACCAAAATTTGCGTTTCTTTACACCAGATGCAGAAATATGATTGCTCTTTAAACCGTAATTTTATTAATGGTTTTTTATAAAGACGTATAAGAGCACATTGTAAAAACATACACTCTTAATATATATATAAAAAAAATAAACTATTTTAGAGAGTTCTCGTTATAAAATTCTAACAGCATTTTTTTACATATTCAATCCTTCTAACTTCTTATCAATATATAATTTAATGCATTAAGAATATTAAATACTATAACTTCTAATAAAAAATTAATTATTAATTTTAAGAAATATTCTTATGAGTGTAAGAAATTCTTCAATCCATTTACATGGCAATTTCATGATGCACTGAGGCTTGAGCAATACAAATCAAAGGATTAGAAGTCTATTCATATATATATATATATATATATATATATACACAGACGAATTTAGCCCTGACCCAAAGCCATAATTTAATTTTAATATAATCCAATGGACCATAGGCAAGCAAACCATAAGTTCAATTATTTTAATTATTCCATTCATATATTATATTCATGGTTAAAGTGGAAACTTGCATATTATAATTGTCAACTTCGGGTTAATGTGCTTCCACGTACTGGTGAAGATTTGGCAAATCAAAGAACAATTCAGAGACTATATATATATAAAGTACGTGCTGCACAAAATTAAACTATAAACATTCAAAAAGCATAAATATTAAAATATCCATTAACGATGAGCATTAAACATATGATTTGACACGCTTCAAGCCATCACCAACACTCGTATCTAAATTTATTCCATACAAACGAAGGATCAACAAGATACACATCGATCCTTCGACCCTTATTCTTCATGTCAAACTTCACACCGATTATACATATAAGCCAAACCAACTATTTCTTATTTGATATAGCTTTTCATAGATTTGGAGCTATGCCTTGAGAAGATGAGCATCGATATCTTTAGTGCATTTGTGGAGATATTCTATGTACCCATACGGAGGATCAACACTGTCACTGATCCTCTCATATTCAACGGTCCATTTGATAATAGCACCGCCATGATTCGCATCAAGAGCTTGAAAAATGAGCTTAAAGCTCTTAAATTGATGATCAATATCTCCATCGAAGAGCTTGTATACGACTGTTTTAGTCTGTTCATCAACGGATTCAATTCTCTCTTGACATGTTGTAACCTTACCATCTGTGGGTCACAAGCAATCAAGACCAGCAACAAAAACTTTGTACAAGTGTGATAGCATTTATATAATTTAATACATAGATAACATTGAATATTATAATTTTGAATTTTTTTTAAATTCTTGTTATATGTCCTTGAATAAGTATTAAAAAAATTAAAAAAAAAGTACTAATCAATATCTTTACATTGATTTAAAAAAATAAAAAATAAATATTTTATTAAGACTAATGTTAATATATTTCTAGGATAATTTTTGATAAAAAAAATTATTGATTCATCAACAAGTATTCTAACGACATTAAAAAAAAAAAACGTTCATCAATGTCCTTAGTTAAAAAAGTAAAAATACTTTTTAAAAAAAAATAATAAATACACATCTCCACAGAACTTTCAATATGGTTTAACATATCTTTGAACATAAAAAAAAATCCTTTCAATGCTCTAAAAACACTTACTTGACAAGATCCGTAAACAAATAGACCTTACCAAAAACTGCGAATACATTTTTAAAACCCATAAACTTTTTTCTCATAAATTTTCAATTGCTATACAAAATTTTTATTAAGTTCAAAATATAAGAACACAATATAGACTTATAAAAAAGAAAGAAAAAGAATTAAACATTTCCGTTTGCATACTAATTTAGTCAGAAACTGAATTACCTATGATATAAGTCCAGTGTTTGATGCTTTCATTGTGATGCCAGTCTTCACCCCGATGCAGCTTGGTTCCATGCACTCTATCAGTAAGGTTTTGAACATGGTGGAGCTGAGCTGCAAAGAGGTTGAACCACTTTGCAGCGGTTGCGTGAACCCCAATTTCAGTGGTAATTTTACCAGCGAGTGACATGATGAACAAGAAAGAAACAAATACTAGAAACAAGAACTGGACAATTAAGGATGCGAGAGATGGGAATGAGTACTCAACAATGTAAGACTTATATAGATCATTGCATACCCACTCCTGCCAACTAATTAATTCGACTATGGGGTCCATTTCATACCCCTCCCAAATATTCAATTACCTAATCATTTTTCATTTTGATTTCCAGATTTGGCAATTGAAGTTTCTTACTCCATCTTTAACTTTTAATCTCTACAGTTTACATTAATTTTTTATTCCTAACTTTTAACTTTTAACTTTTAATCTTTATAATTTTTTATTTTTGTCTCATTACCAGTAATGCATGTGTCAAATAATAGTGTCGCTTGAACTAATGTCTAGTATGTTAAAAATATCAAAACCTAAATAGAATAAAATTACAGATTTGAAAATCAAGACAAGCTAAAATTATAAGTACCATTCTGTATGAGACAAAAAAAAAGTACCATTATTTTAAACTTACTAAATGACTAGTGCGGTGCCCATGTATTGCATGGGTTTAATACACTTAAACTACATATATATATATATATATATAATTTATTCAAAATAATGTATCATGTTTTAGCATCAACAATCAACATTATTTTTACAATATATAAACTTTGCTAAATAATAATTTTTTTATTTATCACAGTTATATTTTTCTTATTATATTTTAATATATAAAAATTAAGATAATGTTGTTTTATTGTACACAATAATTTAATGTTTTATGATATAGATAAAAAAATGTTTACAGTAGATAAATTTTTACTCAAACTAAATCATCATTATCTTAGTTTTATAATAATAATGATAATGACAACAACATAAATAATAACTTATATTTATATTATTAATTAAGTTCTTATATTTGAATAAAAATATTTTTAAAAATTATTCTATTTTAATCAAGTCTCAATTTTGTATGGAACACTTTTTATTTGTTAATTTTAATTTTCTTCTTTTTTTTTTCCCTTTAAAGTTAAAGATCACATTGTTTCCCTAAATGGCAAAAGCCTGATTTTTGCTGGTGACTTGTAGATTTGACTAGTCGGAGAGAATTTATACCATCTGACTTTCAACTGTGGATACCGTTCACTGCTCATAAAATTACACCCACTACCAACAAAACTGTTCAATCACGGACACTGCCCAATTTCCAATGTTCATACGAGTTTGCTGTGCATCAAATCGAAGAGTCTTGGTAAATGTTCAAACTAAAGAGTTAATTAAGATTTTTTATTTAAAATTATGTTGAAAATATATTAAAATGTTTTTAATTAAAATTTTAATTTTTAAATAATATTCTTATTTATCAATTAATATTAAATTAAAATAAAATGGAATGAGGAATAATGAATAAGAATTTTAAATAATGATCAAAACGCCCAATATTTAATTCACATCGTATTCACGATCTTCTCAGTTCTAACTTAAATATAAGAAAAAATTGATTACGAAATAGACATTTTTCCAGCCAAAGAAATAAAAAAAAGGATATTCAAATTTTTATGTTTATGATTTCTGTGATTGCATTCTTTTATTATTTTAATATGTAACCTCTATAAATAGTAGTTTTAATTTTTTTAATTTTAAAATTCATTATTTAATATGTGATACTTAATATAAAATGTAATTTCGAATAAATGCATTTTCTGTCCTCAGGAAGTATTGAAAGCAACCCCAAAAACTAATAAATCTTACATAATAGTTTGTTGCACAAGTTTCCTTTGTATTAAAATAGGCATAAACGATGACAACGCATTCTGTAAGACTTTTCATGAACATATTTTAGATGCAGTTTTCTATTGTGTAATAACAGATTCTACACATCATTCTGAATGATAAAGAAAAATATTATATATCATTCCAAGCTGTATTAATTACACCACTGGAATAGAGTATTAGTTGGATCAGAATCTCTGCTCCATAAGATCTGATCTGCGTTGTATTGAAATATGAATACGAATATGATTAAGAAATTTGGATTTGCTTCTCGTCACTACCCATTTTGATATTCAGCTGACAAATTTTGAATAGAAAAATATCATTCTCATTCAAACCTGTTCTCGTATCTGATTATGTATCGTTTTATATCATATAATATATATTTGTAAGTCTTCCTTTTTAATCATAAAGAAAGTACTCTTCAAAATTTTTCATAAGAAATAAAATTAAATATTTTTTTAATTCTAATTATAAAAAATATATAATATATCTAAGGTGTATTAAATGTTGAATTTATTAATTTATTTTATATCATTCTTTTATTATTAAATATACATTTACGAGTATGAATGGAAATAGATTAAATTAGATTAAATTTTGGAACCGAGTGTGCATTCCTCAACTCCAATAAAATGGATTAAATTTTATGATTTAAAATTTTATTTATTTTAAAATTTAATTTATTCAATATAATATTATATTATAATTTATATAAAATTATTTAATATATTATTATAAATTTTATGAATTGTAAAGACTAGATTCCTAGTGAAACCTATTTTCATATATATTTATAAAGCAATAATTATATTATTTATATAATTTAATATTGTAGGTATTTTTAAAATAAAATTTAAATTTATGAAAAATATAATTAAGTTAATTATTTTTTTATTTTTAATGATTTGATTTTTTGTTTTGTTTAAATAAAACTAGAAGGAGTATTGAATACATGGATTTAAAATTGGTAAACACAGGAAACACAATATAATCTCTAACGACTAAAATATTTCAAAATAAATAGAATTTCTAATAATTAAATATTATAAGATAAAACTAATGGAATTGTTTAATAAACAAAATATTACTTTTAAAAGCTAATTTATAAAAATTAGTCCAAATAGCATTAATTCAATTTATTAGAAGCTATTATAAATATTTTTTTATTCTTACTTTTAACCTTTTAAATAATTTATATTTACGCAACATATCCTTAACTATTTTAGTAGTCAGTTAACAGATCTTTAGCTGTAAAACTAAATTTTTCCAAAAACTCTAATTAAATCATTTAATTATAAATTATAAACTTTCATATCGTATAATATTGTACATTTCTTTATAAGTATATGTTTTCTTTATTGCCAGGAGTTTAATAAATTTCCTTTTTTAGCTCGTAAGAAAAACTAATTCCTTATTTTGTACTGACAAATCTCTCTTCGTTTATTAGTTAAACTGTTAAAAGTTGAGGTCTGTTAAACATAAAAGAAATTTGTAAATGTAGTATTTGATACAAATTAAATATATAATATGATGGATCAATAAAAGGGTTGGGTCTTTGAATAATTAATTTATTTTCATGATTATAGATTTATATTTATTTTTATGTTATTAGTAATAATTTTTTTATTAAATTTGTATTTATAACTTTTTTAACGTATTTTTAAATATATACAGATATTATTTGTTCTAGATCAATTTTTTTGGTTGAATTGCGGGTGTATTTGAATTTTTTATATTATTAAATAACAGAAAATAGTTATATTAAAGAGATAGAATAAAAATTGGTCATAATTAATTATAAGATTTTATTAGATATTTGTAGTGCTAATTTGTCAATAAAGTTGTTCTATATATATATATATATATATATAACATTTTGCATTGAATGAAAAACTGATATAGATATGATTAGTATAGTATTTAAAGATATTTTAAATTAATTACACAGTTGATTTAAAAAATACATGCTTTTTGCATAAATTATGGTAAAACTAGTTTGAAAAGTAAAAAAAATATCTACGAGGTGATATTTTAGACGATTAAGGTGTAAATCGATATAGAATCTTTTGAATATTAATTTTTATCTCTCGTTTATGTCTCCATTCTCACCATTATTTCCAAAATGGATAACAACATACAATTAATCAGACAAATGACATGGATAACCAAAGAACAGTTATGTAATTATCGTTCCTAAACAAACACATCTGTAAACGACATAAACTAAAGGTTAAACCGTTGATAATAGAGGTTGGAGAATCCCTCTTATACGATGCAATGAAAGTTACTCACAGGCTGAAGGTCCCACCAAGTAGCGGATTAACTTGCCATTTATTTTAATTCTAAATATGTTGTTCCTATTTTAGATGTACAATGTAAGTGTTTTTTTTTTTTTTAAGATTTATAAGATACTTTCTAATACACTCTTTGTAATTGATTAAATTTTATTGAAAATTAAAAAAAATATAATAAAGATACGTTAATTTAAGAGTGAAAAAAAATGAGATATTAGATTATTTTTGACAATTTATTAAATGACTCATATAAATTATGACTTCATTTTAATTATAAAATTTAATGGAATAGTTATTAATTTTAAAAGATAGAATTATTAGAAATATAATTATAAATTTAAATAAAAAAAAGTACATTCTTCTCTTTTTAGACATATAGAAGAGCAATTATCGTATAAGGAAGGACGTTAATAAAAAAAAGACACATACTTCTTAATTTGTCTGCATAGAAAAGAACTAAAAGGAGAAGAAAGAGTTTAAGAAAATTTTAAGAGGTATAAATTCTAAACATATATCAAGGCTACATATTCAAGTAAGTTTTCTTAACATTTTAATTATGTGATATCTATAAAATTTAAGATTATATGACTGATAATTTTCAAAATAAAAAATATAAACAAAAATTTCAACTAACTTTAAATTTACATAATTTTGATAGTTTTTAATAAATTTTAATTAATAACAGGATATGTTACAAAAATATATATTCAAAAATACGTTGTTATCATTACTTTTTTTTATTATTAGAGAATATGAATAAAACTATTAGCATACTCTTTGTAATACATTCTTAAAATTTATCAAAAATTACAAAAATTATGTAACTTTCAAGTTTTTTTTTTTTAATTTTTTAATTTTAAATAAATTTTAATCAATAATAAATAATATGTTAAAAAATATGTTGTTAACATTTTTTTATAAAAAATAAAAATTTTATTAACTTTAACTCTTAAGATTAAATTTAAATATTTATAAATAAAAATTTTTATAAAAAAATATACAACTATTATATTAA